CCGATTGACTCCTATTGTATGGACAAACAAACTCTGAGACGTTTTTAAAAAAATGTTCTTTTGCATTTCACAGTAAGTCATACAGATTTTGAAATGACGTGGGCTAGTAAATAATGATTAAAATTTTTGGATAAACTATCCATTTAAGATTACAAAAACCAACTCAGTTTTGTTTCAAATGTATTTTTGAGGGCATTTAGACTTTTAATGGTTGGACAGCTATGCAGTGAGCAAGTGGGTGTATTTTTATTCTCGTAAACCGATCTCCTTTTAACTGGGCCTTCATTGGGTTGGGTTTTGACATCATCAAGGGTTGTGTACACCATGAGTGTAGTACGGTCGCCTCACTGCTGAGTAAATACATATTTTTTGGTACTTTGGTAGTAAAATCCCACTCCTGTCCTGAGGGCCTCATTTTCACATGCAAATGTGCCATACTGAGAGGTTACACACTTTCTCTGCCATCGCCGCAGAAGGGTGAACTCAACCCTCCAACCAGATAATAGCCCTGTTACAGCTTTAGTTAAAATAGGCAAATGAGCAGGTGTCCTTCCTTTATTCTATCAGGCATGAAAGATTCGTCGTCTTTCTCTTCCTCATACTGGCATACAACAAGAACAACACCCTCTGATGGTTTCTGCCTGAACAGACCCCAAAATCATCAAAAAAACTGTTGATTTTGTAAACCCAAACCGATTCTTTGCTCCTAATTCCACCATTGGAGTCCCTGGATGGTTCCTAGTCATTTGAGCTTGAAGCATTGTGGTCTCTCATGCCTGTGGCCCCAGCACTGAAAGCCATGGCCATTGGCCAGACCCACATTCTTCTGGAGAGCGAGCCGTGCCAACCTGGCTTGTGACCCTGGCGGAGAGGATTCCATATCGATGCCAACAGCTGGCCTTCTACCCCACCCCGACTTCAGGACGTAACTTCCTAACCCCTCTTAAACTGGTTTAAATGTTGTGGAATTCCTGCAACTGAAAATAGCTTGAGGCTCAAGGGGTTGCAGAGCGATTCTAGCAGGCATTTTGTTGCATGCATGCTCACCCATGCACATGGTGTCTGAATGTAAAATCCCAGCCCCCAAGTTGTCGAGGGTTTATTTAAGCTGTCTTCTCCATGACGGCAAGGGCTTCGTGTCTTCTTGACAAGGCCTGTGCGTGTTGGTTGGGGGAAGGGACGGGACCAGCTGTGGCCATGTTTGTTCTGATAACCCACATAGCTTTGTGGGAGAGTCCCAATTCCTGACCAATAACGGCAACTGTTATTACCATGCATATGTTTCGCTTTTAGTTTCTGGCAGTCAGCTTGGCATTTCATTTTTCAGGCAACCTCGTAACTTGCGAACTGTATGTTTTCAGTTGTCATCATGAATTGAGTAATAACTTGTCGTCTTGCAACCATGAAGTTTCACAAATCAATTTAATTTGCCTGTATTCAGGGAAAGACGTTAAAGTAAACCGGCCGACGTCATTCGTCAACTCATTCACACCTGTCAAGAAAAGTTCAGAAAGTCATGAACTCACGGTATACTGAGGTTAAGGTTAGGGTTTGCACTGACATTGTTTAGGAAAAAAATCAGGCGTTGTTTTTTAAGCTTTGTGGTGCTTAGTATTAAAGATTAGCACAGTCATCCCTCACTGTTTGTGCTATGGACAAGAGTGATATGATATGACTTCAAATTGTGTGGCTTATTGTATGCTTTATGGTTGGTGGACAATAAAACAGAAGAAAATGGTCATGTTGACTTACAAAAAATAGGCTAAAAAGAGACTTGGGAGTGGGTTCTTTTTAGCAAGCATTTAGCAACTGTTCAGAACACCTTAGCAACTGTAGCATTCCCTGCAACCACCTAAAACACCCTAGCATCATTGCAGAGAGTTTTGCAAAGGCAAGCACTAGGAATGTTCAAAACTGCATATTTTTCCAACAGCTAGTTTTAAAATCTGGAATAATTAGGCTGGTTTCAGGTTCTGAAAATGTAATAATCTAGTTTTACAAACATACTTTGAGTTACTTTTGATGGAAGCCTGAAAAGTGGAATGTTAAGAAACTCTTGGGTTGATATATTATTATTTCGAGTAACACCGTAACAAATTTTTCTGCATTTGGTTCCGTACTTTTATCACATACCATCTGGCTTTGAAATTGTGGAGGAGCTGCGCTTCCTTAACTTGGAGACAACCTCGGTCAACAGATGCTGTGATAGACTCTGAGACCTCACCACACGGTTATCAACTGCACAGTCGTGGCTGTAAACATGCTGCTGTAAATTTAGACATTTGTTGCAATGCTCTATCGGATGGTTCCAAATCAATATGTGATCTGAATTGCTCTGGCACAAAACTCTAATCCATTTTGTACAGTCAAAATGGCTTAAAAACCTGTATAATGTTGTCTTGGATGTACATATTATTTCTCTAATGTATGAAATGTCTGCCAGCAGGGTTTCCCTGTGACTAACAAGACTAAAAAGTCAGTCCTCCTTTCTCCTCTTTCCCGCAGCAGTGCCGTACCCTCCCACGACGCGGCTCACCATGAAAGAGCTGTATGAGGACGGCAAGCCCAAGGTGGAGCTTTTGAAGAGCCACCTGGTGAAAGAGGGCCGCCTGGAGGAAGATGCGGCCCTACGCATCATCAATGACGGCGCCAACATCCTCCGCCACGAGAAATGCATGCTGGAAGTGGAGGCCCCCATCACAGGTAGGCTGTTGCTCACTTGATGACTCGCTGTGCGGCGAATCTATAGACCTGTCGTGATTCACAACCAGCTTCTACATCCAGGATGTGGTTCTCACAGGATCTTCGCTACACCTAATGCCGTAGGATCACAGAAAAACATGATGCCCACTGGCGATGGTACTCGCCCACATGCTTTCTCATAAATTAGTTATTTTGTTAGTTTACAGCGATACAGTTTTTCTCATAGAGAACGTTATCTAAGACCAATAAAAGTACCCTCAAGGTTTTGCGGTTACTTGATCGGGCATCTCTGATATCCTACTTAATCTTTAGTTTTAGTCCTGACCCCGACATAATCGTCAAGTCAGCGAGAAGAGTGTGATTATTTTCATACGGAGCTAGTCTTCCACAGCAACCCCTAATGTGGTTGCTCTGTAAAGGTCAGAGAAACAGTTGCATCCTAGACTCTCTCTCACACACCCCCACACTTTAATTCCCCAGCGGAGGCCACAGGAAACGCCCAGCACTCGCCATACACTCGGGCAAACACACAAACAGGTGTGTGGATATAAATGGGCATGTCTATCTACATCTTTCCCCCCGCAACCCACCTTTGCACTCTCTCATGTTTTTCAAAACACACACTATGTGCATGATAATTGGCTTGCAAGAGAAAACCGAAGAGATTGTGGCATGAATAATTGAGATGGTGTTTCTGCCTACAACTTTTTACCTTGTGGAGGTTTAAGCGGAAATGGGGTTGGTTTGGCCACATCCTGTTTGTGGCGACCACTATTGATCTGTTTCACTCAGCCGTTTTGAGTGGGCCTAGTATTTGTGCTCTTCCGTTTTAGTGGTTTTAATATTTGTGCACCCTCAGTTGCTCAAATCCGAAGATTTCTGCACCCATTTTTTGCCTCCATCTTAAGCTCATAAAGATATGTCCTTGACCTTCTTGTGTGTACACAATGTCTGATATTTCTTCTTTTTTTTTTTTTCCCGCAGTGTTCTCCAGTGTTTTTGTTTTGGCCACAATGACGTCACACTGTTTTTGTTGTTTCATCTTCAGGTGTTTTTCTTAATGTGTTTTGTCTCCGTCTACAGTGTGCGGAGATGTCCATGGGCAGTTTTTTGACCTGATGAAGCTCTTTGAGGTGGGGGGTTCCCCACACAACACACGCTATCTATTTTTGGGAGACTATGTGGATCGAGGCTATTTCAGTATTGAGGTGAGTGTAATTGTAATGTTCACAAGTTATGTAAAATAGGGTTAAGTGGTAAACAACAGTGTTTCTATAATGCCTAAACAAATATAATTAAAGGAATACTATAGATTCAATGCATATTAAGCTCTCAATACATCATTACATATTAAGATCAGCAGTATAAGGAGCATGTTGTTGATTACCATAGAAAATAATTTAAACTTTCTCCTCGGTTCACAAAAATTGTGTGTACAGTAATGCACTTACAATAGAAGTCTATGGAGCAAAACATTGTACATGGAAAAACATCAAGATATGCACATTTTATTGAACATACAGCCACAAGAATTTATATTTATAGCTGCTAACATGAGACTAGTGTGATCTTTCAACTCCTTTCATACCATGTTCTGGGGATATATGGTAATTTTCGCAATTGTGAAGGGTTATTTGGAGAAAACTCAACATACAGAAGTTACATCCTTAGATGTTCTTCTCCTGCTAACAGTAAAGTATGGTATTTATAATAAAGTACAGACTTTGCAACTTGCCCTTTTGTAATAAAAAAATTATAATCAACATAACCACATTAACAAACATATAGCTTCCCATTTCTGCTTTTAAACTGTCCAGAATGTCTTGCCTTACAGACCTCCATTATGAGTGTTGTAGTGTATAGAATTGTATTTGATTTGTATTAACTAGTGGACAGAACCTTAGTTTCTGTGATAATCGACAGCATGCCATAGTGATGCGCTGAAAATTTGCCAACCAAAAATATTTTGTCAATGCCAAAAAATTAATTTTCAAATTTGAATTTGATGTTTAATTAGCACTTCTCAGATGATGCACTTTGACCACATCATCGTCTATTTCTCGTATGCAATGTGGATAAGCTACAACAGGTAAACATGTCAGCAATGTGGATGCACTTCACAGTGACCAAAAATGTAGCAAAAAGTAGAAACAACTTTGTTCTTCTGAAATAGTGAGAGGTGGCTTGTTGCCGAAGAACTGTACTATGACTGGTTTCATTTATCACCTGGACAGCATGCCAAGTTCAATTACCCAAACTTAACTATCCAAACTTTAAATTTTTAATTTATCCAAAATATAAAGCTGAAAGTAATTTGTTTCTGTAAAAAAATTGTGCATCACTAGCATGCCACAAAAGTTGTCAATAGAGCCAAATCTGTTTTGAATCCAGAACATTTTTTTAAAGAGGCTAGTTTTGTTTTAAATCTCTTTATAATCGCTATACAAGATCTTTTGAAACTTCAAGGCTTTTTGAATACATCTTTGCCGAATGAACACATCTCGCTCATTTTATTTAGACACTTGAGATGTTCACATTTAATATAACTTGGCCCTCAGAGGATGCCATGTGGCAGTGCTATTCAAACAGCCTCTGTTGTACCAGCATGCATTGTGATGATGCAATCAGCATGTCACCTTTGTCTGTAAAGCAGCCACAATGATGAAGCAGATGGCATTAAAGGATTATTGATCCCGCCATCCTGCAGGCAAGAGAATGCGCTTCTCAACATCCAAGTTCCGTGTAAATTGTTAAAGAAAACTTCTGGTCCGGTTTATCAGCTGGCGTCTTTTATATCGTTGGCCTTGATGTCTGATGTCACTCTGAATGGGCAAGCACAAGTCCTCAAAAAGCTTCCACCTCTGCGCCGCGCTTTGGTTGCAAAGTTCAGGGGCGGGAGAAATGTCATGGTTAAAAGAAGCGGCGTAAGAGAGCGGACACACCGCTGCTCAATACCATCAAACACAGCTGAGGGTCCAGGGCCACCGGCCACCTGAGACGCATAGAAAGAAAGCGTGTGTGTTTCACAACAAAGTCCACGCTTAGTTTCTACTCCCTGCCTGGACATCACAAACCACAAAGGACTGAACTTCAGTCATCCTCCACACCACCTGCTAATGCCCTCTGACTGGGACGCTGCAGTCATCAAACGCTTGCGTAGGTTACACCACCAGACTTTGCCCCACCCTGACACCCAGACCTATGTGGAGAACGCTTCATTTTCAGTGTTTCTCTCAGTTCAGGGCTTGATGAAATGGCCACTGCTGCTGGGCCTCTTTAAAGATCACTGTAACCTAAACGCAGACTATCCTTCCTGAAAGGATGGAGAATGAATTGTGTATTCTGCAGATTAACACTGAAATCCTGTTCACTGTTACGCAGTGGTGTTCTGTGGATAATCTGACCATGTGCGACCTGTATAGCCTTGCGGGTGTTTAATGGGATAGTGGCGATGAGCTAATGGTGCACGCAGAGTGACTGACAAGTTAAGATTTGAAGCGAACATTAATTTAGGCAACTTTAACTTTAGGCACTTTAGTTACACCGTTTCAGGGCTTGGGGTTGAGAGATAATATCAGAAGTGGATGTGAAAAGATTGAAATCATAGTCTTGCTTAGCACAGCAAAGTGCTCTCTGTCTGCCCAGATGTGTTTGTGGTTCAGCATGTTTGGATTGTACATCAGCTTCAGTTTCTGAAGTTCTTATCTGCCACTAGTAGACTAAGGTTCTGTTCGCAGTGGGATGCTAGCTTTACTAAAAAAGGTACACTACAGTCCAAAAGTTTGGGGTCAGTAAGATTTGTAATGTTTTTAAGAGGAGTCTCTTATGCTCACCAAGACTGCATTTATTTGAACAAAAATACTGTAAAAACAGTAATATTGTAAAATATTATAACGATTCAAAATAACTATTCTGTTTTAATATATATATTGTAAAATGTAATTTATTCCTGTGATGCAAAGACGAATTTTCAGCATCATTACTACAGTCTCAAGTGTCACATGATCCTTCAGAAAGCATTCTAATATTTTGGTTTCTTATCATTGTCAATGTTGAAAAAAGTTGTGCTGCTTAATCTTTATGTGGGAACCGTGATTCTTTGAATAGAAAGTTCAAAAGAGCAGCATTTATTTTGAAATCGAAATCTGCTGTAACATAACAAATATCTTTACTCTCACTTTTGAACAATTTAAGGCATCCTTGCATAAAAGTATTCGTTAAAGAAAAAAAAAAACACTGACCATAAACTGTTGACATCAGTCAGTGTGTATGTCAAGAATTTGTTACCCACAAAAAAAGTATTTTTAGCAATATATATTTATTTGCCTAGATGTGTTTTTATAATGTTTTTCATTAAATGTTCATTTACTTCAGTGACAAGTGTAAATCAACAGAACATCACAGAAAACGATGAGTATTGGTCCAGTTGTCATAATACAAAATAATAATAATTAAAAATTTTAAACAAAAACAATTGCATCCAGTCCAGTTTTGTGTAAAAATGTGTAAACTCTTAGTCCTATAAAATGAGTTCAGAAATGTAAAATATATATATATATTTGATATGAGACATTTGAAATGGAAAGACGAGTCAGCCCCATTGCTCACAGGTTGCTTGTTTATAGCCAAGTGGCCGTAGTGGCCGTAGTGGCAAATGAAGTCAGTAATTAAAGTATCCCATGCTTAAAGAAAAATTGCATACCGTATATGCTAGTGTGCTGTTATGATACAATGATTTTCATTTTTAAGTGATCTATTCCTTTAATAAAATATCAGAGTAATGGAGGTATAATCCTCTTAAACACTGAACCTGCTGTGTCGTGGCCTTCCAGCATATTAGTTTGAGCTGAATCAGAACGCTAATGATTGTGTTCAGCAGTATTGTGTTTGTTTAGGTTTCACTGAACATATTTTTTTCATATCCACTTGGATATCAGTCTATTTAACACGTGGTCCATACTGATGTTTAGGGCTGGATAACTGCAGCTACCTTATAATGTGAAATGCATTGTGATGCGTATGTTACAATTCAATACACAGTCATTCATCACGTTTTCATAGTTGAATCAAGGGCACTAAATGTACAAGGCAGTTCTAGTCTGCAGGATGTGTAGTTTAGTGCTTCAGAAACAACTCTGATCACACTGAGAAAAATTGGTTTCAGAGTTTCAGATTTTCAGTTTTTCATTATTTGAGCTGTAGTGAATATGAATATACACACACACACACAAAACTGAAGTATCAATGCAATTGTGAGAAACAGAATAGCGATATATGATAATATTGCTATTGTGTGTTGTGTATTTTTATGAAATGCTTTTTCTGTTTGCATCTGCAGTGTGTGCTCTATCTGTGGGCCTTGAAGATTAACCATCCGACCACCCTCTTCCTCCTCAGAGGCAACCACGAGTGTCGGCATCTCACGGAGTACTTCACCTTTAAACAAGAATGTAAGCTCAGCTCTTTAGAAACTCGGAACATGTGTGTGTGTGTAAACGTTATCAAGAGAATGAAATGAGATTTTGCCACATTCTATCATTCAAGTCTGTCATGGCAATTTTTTCCCCATTACTATCGTGGCATCCCGAGAGAGATCATGTCATGGGAGTATTGGATGACGGGCCGCAGGCACAGAGCTCAATCACATCCCTCAGCACTCGTCAGGGCTCTTCACTCCCCACTTAGATTTACATCAGCCATCAACCCAGTCATGACACATTCTGACAGCTAACTGAAACCCTCACATCGAACGGCTGCCTGCTTTCCACCAGCAGCTGATGATCAGCAGACCCACACAGAATCTGTGCAAAATTGTAACACCCATCATTCATGCAGTTATATAAATCCCTCGTTGACTTGTTTATTAAATATTTTGGCTAATATAACTGTGCTTCCAGCAGTCACTATGTAGTTTTCTCAGCCCTCATTTTTACGATGTTACATTTTACTATGATTAAAGTGTCTGGTTTATTATTATTATTATTTAATCACTGAAAAACTGTTATTTTGGACAGTTTATTTTACACATTCGCTATATATATAGCATAGCTAATACAATGCAAATAATAGCTTTTTTTAATTTGTGTTTTTAGTCTTCAGTTTGCACACTGTTTGGAGGAGAACATTGGGCAAGATTTATAATTTTTGCAAATAAATACATTCAAAATCATCTAAATGTTAAAATTCAAACGTGGCCAGGACGTACAATTTTTAGAAATTAACATACATTTTATATACCTTATATTTTGATTTTGTGTAATTAGAATTTTTAGAAATTTGAATTTATATATACATTTCATTTAATTTAAATGGTATTTTTTTATATGTTTGTGTGTGTGTGTGTGTGTGTGTGTGTATTATATATATATATGTATGTTTATGCAATACATTGCAGAAAATAAGATTTTTGTTTAATCTGATCAATTAAATATTTATAGATATCTATTTTTAAATATCTACAGTTTGCAACTCACAATTAGTTTGATAATTTATCAGTCCAATTTAATTAACAAAACCTTCAATTAATGTCAACAAAACAAATGGATCTGAGGTTCTGCACCAAAAACTCTCCAATCAAAACTCACTAATTTAGCCAATCAGGAACCACCCAATGGCATTTCAGTTTGGATCAGCAGAAACTTGGCTGTTAATGCGTTTATTCAGCCTAGATCAAGGCTGGCTGTTTCTCCGTCCAGCTATAATCAAAGAGCCTTTGATAATGATGTGCTACTTCACCACTTGTTGGCTCATTGCAGTGTTGTTTTTTGCTCATCACGAGGCAGCCTGTTTCTCATCTGTCAGTGCTGCTGTTTACAATACGCTGCACGGCTGGCCCGTTCTAAAATGTCAGGATTTAATGGGAGTATGCGGCCCTTGTTTCACATGTAACCTGTCTCAGGCCTCAGCCTCCTTCAATCAGCCTCCCGCCGCGCTGGTTTCCTCAGTTCATCCCAATTAGCACACGGGTCTGCTGCAACATCACCTAACAAGGCATGCAACATCCTCCTCCTCCTCCATCTCTTCCTCCAGCCTTGGAAAGTTGGCAAGCCTCGGTCTGCCCTCACCCACCCAGCATTACTGCGATATGTCAAATGGACAGTGTGACAGCCTTGGCTTGAAAAGCTCATTCACTCCGCTTGCGCCTGTTTGGAAGTACAATGGTGTTTTTATTGTGGTTCTCTCATCGCAGGCAAGATTAAGTACTCGGAGCGCGTGTATGATTCCTGCATGGAGGCCTTTGACTGCCTTCCCCTGGCCGCTCTGCTCAACCAGCAGTTCCTGTGCGTTCACGGAGGCCTGTCCCCCGAGATCACCTGCCTCGACGACATCCGGAAAGTAAGTAAGATGTTGGGCATCGCTGACAGTCCTATGCTGTTGCATTGTGTGTGCGACATTCATGACAGGACAGTATTGGAAGGTGCTGAATTTGTTATGGAGGCGATGCTTGTTTCACTATTGTGATGATTCTTTAAAGGGGATGAATTTAGACATGCAACTTCTCAGAGGGAGTTGTACCGCTAAATCACAGCAAGATGTCAACATGCTGAAAACCTCTCTGAGAAGTTACATCTTTAAACTGATCTCCTTTTAAATCACTGCTGCTATTATTATTAATAATAATAATAATAATAATAAAGTAACTATTTTAAATGTAATAAAAAAATACAAATATATTAAAGTGTCTTAATATTATTATTTAATTTTATAATAATTATGCTAAACTAACATTTCTCTCTATTTTTTGTAATTATATAATAATAATAGTAATTTTTGTAATTATTATTTAAATTAAACATGTAATTATTTTGGGATATTAATAATTAGTTTAGTTTAGCTTAGTTTATTTATATATCATAATAAAACAACAGTTGCTGACCATTGTGCTGTACAAAAATTGTAAAACCAAAATAAAAAAACACCAATCAAAACAGCATACAAAAACATAGCTCGGTCTCCCTTTCTTTTTAATCGTTATCTAGGAACCTTCAGCAGTTTCTGATTTGATGACCTTTAACATCTAGCAGATATGTTAACAGTCACAATTTCAGATAAATAAGAATGTGCCAGCCCATTTAAGACTTAAAATAAAAAATCTTTAGTTGCAACCAACGCAGAGAGAGTAAGACAGGGGTAATGTGCTTATATTTACGTGTGCCAGTAAGAAGTCTAGCAGCTGCATTTTGGACTATTTGCAAGCTGTTCATATAGGATTGACCAATACCTATATAGTTTGAATTGCAGTAGTCTAGATGAGAAAATATAAATACATGTATTACTCTCTCGAACTCAGCATGGGTTAAAAAGTTTTCAACTTTGGCCAGTATTCTCAGATGGAAAAAACATGATTTGACTACTGCATTTACCTGCTTATTAAATAACAGGGCAGAGTCAAAGACAACAAAAAGTTTTTAACAGATGGCTTTACATAAGCAGCTAAGCTGCCCAACACTTGATTTAACCTGCTAGAGACCGCTAAAGTTCCAAACAAATGCCTCAGTCTTACTCTCGTTTAAGAAATCTTTGGACATCCATGTCTTAATGTCTGACAAACAGGCAATTAAAGCATACAGTTCAGCATTGTCATTATGCTTGATGGGCACATATATTTGAGTGTCGTCTGCATAAAAATGAAATAATACTATTTTCTAAAAATTGAGCCCAAAGGGAGCATATAAAAAGAAAACAAAATGGGGGCAAGAATAGGTCCTTGTGGAACCCCGCAGGTGCTTTGGAGGATAGACATCCATTTATAGAACAGAAAAAGTTATATTGTTCAAATAGGATTTGAACCAGTTCAGTGCATGACCTTTAATACCCACACAGTGATCAAGATGAGAAATAAGAATATCATGATCGACCGTATCAGAGGCCTCACTCAAATGCAACAGCAGAAGTATTACAGAGGTCCCAGAATCAACAGATAATAAAATATAATTTGACACTCTTAAAAGAGCTGATTCTGTACTGTGATGTTTCCTAATACCTGACTGAAAAGTTTCAAAGACTCCATTTGACTCTTAAAAAATGTAATAATTGGACAGAAACTACCTTCTCAAGGATTTTAGAAATAAAAGGTCATTTAGAAATTGGCCTAAAATTCGAGAGAACTGTCACATCACGGTTAGATTTTTTTTTCAACAGAGGTTTAACAGTAGCATGCTTTAAATATTCTGGAACAAATCTTACAGAAAGACTCTGTTGGAAACTTTTTCCTCGTCGAAGCAGAGACCAGGAGACATGTTTGTGCACAAGTGAGTCCTGGAATGCAGCCATCTTCTGTGTTCGTGGTAGGAGCTGAATCACTTAAAAGTACTGGAGTGGATTTCAAGTTTTCTCTGACTGCAGGTAGGGCATAAGGTGCAAAGGTGCACCTGCCATTAAACTTGGCCGGTAGTACGTGAGTCATTTCTCCTTCATCCTCTAACACAACTTCAGTCATTGCAGACATCATACATGAGGATGGGTTCGTGACTGACGCACGCTGTAAAACAATGTTCGTGGCTGTGAGGGTTGTTAACCAATTTCCCCAACGAGAGGAGGTGACAGAAGTGACTTTTGCTTGATTCATTAGTGCGGACACTGCATGAGGGCATCTTACGTTTACAGTCTGTCTGTTAGCCAGTTTTGTAGGAATTACTGTAATTACTGCACCTGTATCAAGCAAAAAGTCAATCTCTTTCTCTTGTATGCTACCTTTCACAAAAAAGTTTTTGTCATTGTGATGGATTACAGGGGAAATTAAGCACTCACAGCCCTAACAGTTAACACCTGAGCAAGCTGCTCTAACAGTTCGGTGAAGTGGGGAGGGGCTGCTTCAAAGTAGTGAGTAGACTGAGTAGGAGCTGAGTAAAGCTGTTGGTTGTACAGAAAGATTCAGTCTGGAACTTAGTCAGATCTTTGTTGAGCTTGAAGTTTCAATCTGGATTCAGGTGAGGAGCTCTATCCGGGTCACGGTACCAAAACTGTTGGAAACTTTTTCCTCATCGAAGCAGAGACCAGGACACGTTGGGATATATTTCATACAGAAGTCACTCTTTATTGAGGACTCGAGCGTCGCTGCAGTCATCCAAGTCTGACTATAGCTCAGCACAGTAGAGTTTATACCTTTCAAGGGGGAGGGATACATAGAGGTGGAGACAATCTAAACAAAGCATGCAAATGCAATACAGGAATCAGCCCGTTACCGGAATTTCTCCATCCCTGATCTCATCAGCATAACAGTGTCATTCAAATGCATAGGTGCTAATCCAATCAGTCTGACAGTACTATTCCAATCAGCATAACTACTCAAAGACTGGGACAGAGGCACCAAGAGCCATTACAAACAAAAGGTGATCGTCTCAGTAATCTGGTTCATTTTACTAACAATAGGAGAACAGGAACAGACAGGAACCTTTTGCTACACTTTGCTTAAGATAATCATTTGTCTGATGTAATTTACCTTAAATGCTAAATACAATGTACTTCACCTTAGTTTTTCATGTGATGCTATGTCAGAACATAGGATCAGCATATTTAAAACAGATTCTTAAATTTGTAATCCCACAACTCTTATTCATTATTGATAGAATACAGGGCCCAGTGACATCAAAAACCTGAATAAGTTGCTAGGCGAGCTGGAATAATGTCAGTTACAGATGTGGTTAGTTTTAACTTAGTAACCAGTTCATGAAGAGAGTCTATGGAGATAGTTTCAAAGGCATTAAAATATCAAGTACAAACCAGAAAAGAGGAGGGATCATAGTTTATGGGGATAATAGTAATAGTTTAACATGTCTTTTAAAAAGTATTACAGATATGTGTAAGCACATTTGGATAAAACACTTTTTGGTCTATTTGTTTTCAGACCATAAAATGATTGTATTTAGTTATTTCCTTGTTAATATGTGCTTGGATAAGATGATGGTTTGCTCAGTGCTTTCAGTAATCACTTTAATGTCATTAAAAATCTGTCACTGATTTGAAAATTTTAAGCAGATGCGAATAGATTGAATTTGTTTTGTTGCAGTGACAGATAAGATGGTGCTGGAGAACAGAAATGCTTTTTTTTGTTTAGTTCTGATTGTTTGTTTTACGCTTGTGCTGCAGTTAGACAGGTTTAAAGAGCCGCCAGCTTTCGGGCCGATGTGCGACCTGCTGTGGTCTGACCCTGGCGAGGACTACGGCAGCGAAAAGAGCTCGGAGCACTTTTGTCACAACAGTGTGAGAGGATGTTCCTATTTCTACAGGTACTCCAGCTGACAGTCTGCCCACATGCACATTTGTTTGATAGCTGCCTACTCAGTCCATGTTCAGTCGCACCTCTCAGTGTTAGTAATGCCGTTTTGACTGATGGACTGCTGGAATCGCTAATTACACCTCTCTCCGTCTCTAACAGTTACCCTGCAGTATGTGACTTTCTGATGAATAACAACTTGTTGTCAGTTATAAGAGCACATGAAGCCCAAGATGCAGGGCGAGTACACTGCACACCACACTCATAAACCAGACTGCTCTAAACTGAATGTAAATAGCTCTCTTACTGACAATTTCTGCCCCAATTTCACTGACCCCCTTAGGTATCGAATGTACAGAAAAAGTCAGACGACAGGCTTCCCCTCTTTATTCACAATTTTCTCTGCACCAAACTACTTAGATGTGTATAACAATAAAGGTAAGAGCTCTCAAGACTAGTTTTGAGCCTGTGCCATTGTGCTGAGCTGTTTAATTTTTGGCCTTATGCTATTTGGCCTTATGCAATTTCAGCAAATATCATAATACATATAATATAAATTCATGAAGTCAGGATATACATAGCAAATTTTTTTGCTCAGATTCGATTACAAATTTAAAGTCTCTCAAAATCAGAACAGGCTTTCTGATTTGTTTTTTTTCTTCTTTCACCCCTCAAGCTGCTGTGTTGAAATACGAGAACAACGTCATGAACATCCGGCAGTTCAATTGCTCTCCTCACCCATACTGGCTGCCCAACTTCATGGACGTGTTCACGTGGTCACTGCCCTTCGTCGGGGAGAAAGGTAAAGAGCAAATGGGAATAGAATAATCTTTTTTTTTTTTTTACATTGATTTTGATACCCATCAGAAATGCATTTGCTAAATTATGGGATGTGGTTTTAGAAATGAGTTTTACTGTTCATCAATTCTGATTTGATGGTTTATTGATCAAGGAAATATTCAGACAGCATTCATTATCTGTACATAATGACCATATGCATTATGTTGAACACTATGAAGCATGCAATGTATACAGTTTTAAAGCATAAGTAGTGCTGGGCGGTATACCGGTTCATACCGAATGCCGGTGTTTATTTTTGTTATGATATGAATTTTTAAAATACCGCAATACCGGTGTATGTTGCTTAAACAACGTTCGGAACGCGACACTGTTTGAAAGGGGTCCCTTTTCA